CCTTGCCTAGGGCTCGTCCCTCTGGAATCCAGTCCAGAGTTAAGTGAGGGATAAAAGAAACCCAAGGAAACTCGCCACATGCCTCCCTCCAGTCCTGAGCTCACCGGCCAGTCCACCTTCTACCCAACCTCCAGAGTCCTTAAGTCATTCCTGTTGAATAGCTTCCAGGGTGTCTATTGTTTCTAGAAGGCTTCCACCCATGGAGACCCATGGTGCTGACACTGAGGAGGCCAAGGACAGGCTCATCTCCATCACAGACTGGACTGCCCAGTATGTCCTTTTAACTCAGATGGCCTTGGTGGGCACTGACCTGAGATACAAGACTCCCACTTGGTGTCTGCTCCCAAGGCCACACCCATGCCTCTCTGTCTTCAATCATGCGATCGTATTCTCTCCGGTTCCCTGACAGACCAGAGAAGCTTGCACGAATGCCGAATCTTGCATGCTCTAATCCCCTCACCGAAACCTGCCAGCATTCTAAATCCTCACCAAATAGGTTGAAACAGTATTTCCAAGTGAGGCTTATGCTGCCTTAAAATTCACAGTTTCGCACAGTGCTGTGTCTGTCTTTGTGGTGGGGACTGCGAACTGAAAAATGAGCCCTGTGTCTTAAAGAGTATGTCCTAATGAGCAATCAGTCTTTAGTCTCCTAAAAACTTGGCCAGAGTTTCAGATCCCTGACTCTAGGGTTTGCCTAGCAGGTCCTGGCTCGTATGTCTACAGGGTACCTCCTGACCTTGGAAGCTCCTGCTCACCAGGTCTGCTCAGGAAAACAGCATCGTATGTCAGCACAGTCAAGGTTCCCGAGGGTTATCTCGATAGAAATCAGAGAGCTGATACAGCCTAGGGCAGAAGAGAGAAGGTGCATTGCTGTCCCGCCCATGTAAAAGCTGTTTCAGGTTTTCTTTTCTGAAGGAGGTGTGGCTCCCTGGCATCCAATAGCCTTCATCGTTTCAACATTTTCCTTTTCCCATGTACCATCATTCTGGTAAGCAGCCCTAGGTCTCTCTGTAGGGAGGAATGTGGAATATTTATGGTATATGTTGGAGTGACATTGTCAAGTCCTTCTTCAAGGGGACCTGGCTTCTCCCTTCATTAATGAGTTCTGGGTCTGAGAACTGATTCAGATGTAAAACTGAGTGAGGTTTCATGCAGTTTCATTGCAGATATCGGCCTTCTGCTCACCCGTTCTTGAATTCTGTGTACACCATTCAGAAAATATCCTTCCAGCTGTGGGCTTTTTGAGTCCCAAGTTTATAATATTTGGGCCCCATTGTCTATATATTAGCATGCCTCCACAGAGCCTATGGGTCAAGAAGCCCAGTTGCCTCTCTGAATTGTCTGAGCACCACCCCTTAGACACTGCTAGCTTGGATCTCAGCATCCTCTTCTCCTACTGTCAACACTGACTACCAATGACAGTCAGCTCTGAGTTGCCCAAAAAGGCAGGTGCTCGCTTATTGGTGCCTTCCTCACTGCCTTGGTACACAGTGTTCTCAAGACCTTCCAAGGGAACATGGTCAAGTCCCTGGTCTAACATTGTAAATGCATCCTCCATTCCTACCTTCCCGGGCCCCCTCGGCGCTCGTTCGACACTCCACCAATGCAACCCGGCATCTATGCCTCATTCACATCACGCCCAAGCTCTCAGAGCCCTCTTGGAATTGTATTTGGATAGTTTTCAAGTATCTTTTTCAGAAAGCCCAATCCTGAGACATGGGAGAGTTCTCCTAAAGCAATAAATTCGATTCAATAGCTTCAAGGTGTTTCCCACTCATTTACCCTGTTTCCCAGTGACAAGAACTAGCCAGGACCTATGACAACTTCCTTGAGATGCTGTCATATTTATTCCAAGATCTCTTCTAGGCTTGACCCTGGCTGTTGGTCTAGTGAAAATAAGAAGAAGTGGAGACAGATTGAGGGGGACACGCATCATACTGTAAGACACCCTTCCGGTAAAGACTCCAGACTCCTCCTAGCACCGGCACCTCTCAGGAAAGGGGAAGGGCTCTTCTCTTGCGCAGAGAGTCCTGGGAATCCAGATGACCCGGCTTAGGATCATCTACCCAAACACCCCCACCCCAGGTCACAGGTTGCTGCCATGTCCCTGTCACTGCTCGGACTTCAGCATAGGACACCCGCTCAGAGTTCTTGTGCAGCTCAGGTGTAGACATGCAGGATGTCAGTACAACACGCCAGCTGGACTCGAATTTCAGATTAAGGACGAATAGATTTTCATAAGTAAGCAAGACCTAGAACACGCGTACATGAAAAAGGCATCGGATGTTTCTCTGAAACTCAGATTTGACTGGGCTGCCCAGGTTTCATCTGGAAGCTCTGTGCCGAGTGAGTTCTGGTTGGATTTTCACGTGGCCTCCACTAGGAGGCAGAGATGATGATTTTCTGACACACTGCCGCGGAGGCCTCTGCTTTTACCTCCTGACGCTGAGGAGCTAGGCCTGAGCCTCCCATCCCATTCCCCAAGAATGTGCTGGAGTTCTGTTTTGTTTTGTTTTGTTTTGTTTTCTATAGGCCACTTGTGTCCTCTTGCTGGAGAGAGACAGAGAGAGAGAGTGAGGGAATGTGAGAAATCACCACTCAGCAGCAGTGCCACACCAAAATCCCTTCTCCTTCACTCTCCTCTCAGGATTTCGGGCACACACACACACACATACATCCAACCTGATTTTCAATCCACCAAGTCCAGGAGTCAAACTATATGTGGAGAGGTTATTTAAGTAATCAAGTTTTTAATTGACAAAACTTGTAAGTATTGCTTGTGTGAAATATGTACACATTGTGTAATAACACAGCAGAGCTAATTAACACGTGTGTTATATCACATGTGTATTTTTGTGTGCTTTATACACTTAAAATCTACTCTCGGCAACTTTTAAGACCAAAATATGTTGGTATTAACTATTCACCACATTTTACAAAAGGTGTTTACTATAAATGATAAATAACTTTCAGCAGCTAAAAATCCTAATCATGTGTTTCCAGACCCTGAAATGCACTTACATTGTGAGCATCTAAGCCATGACCTACCCAGGTACCAGACTGGGGATTTGAACAGGCTTGAGGGTCACTGCAAACACATGGGGTAGAAAAAGATGAAGGCACAAAAGCACAGTCTGAGAGGACGTTTCTGCCCAGAATGCAAGGCCAAGTCGGCTCCAAGAAATAAGTAGCCCCCTGGATTTGTGGAGTTGGGACACTGAATGGGGCTAGAAACTTCCACTGGCTTGGGGTTCAGGTGGCAGTGAGGGTACAGGAATGAGGGGAGACTGAGTGCGTATGAGGATACAGGAATAGTGAGGGTGAGGATTCGTGGGTGAGGCTCTGGGCTGTGGTCTGTTTATTGTTGGTAACAGGCACTTGGACCCAGGTCTGGAACCGTGGAACTGCAGGAGCTCAGGAGAGCTGGAAAGAATTGTCTCTGTGGTGCCTGATTTCCTCACAGCGACTGGGGGCCAGGCGATGCCCACTGCCTGACAGAGAGCAGGTGCCCGCGGGCTGACCGGGCTCATTGTGGCTTCCCTGCCCCACTTGGCCAGTGCCCGCGGAGCTGCCCACTCCCGCTGGAGCAGTGGCCTGGAGTGAGTTTCTAGCCACCAGGCCCAGGACTCAAACCACGGTTGACCATGTGTCAGTTCAGCAACGTAACTGCTATGCCATCTACTGGCTCCATTCCTTCACTTTTAGATGACTGAGGGACGTGCTTCGATGTGCCGGCCCTGGAGGAAAGAGGCAAGACGCTGATTCCCTTGGTGTCCAGAGGAATTCGAAGGACGAGCCGGGCCTGGTGGGGCTGGGCTGAAGCACCCCTACGTCCCTGATGGCACAGGCCTGGAAGAGTATGTGGCTGAGCAGAGCTCAGAGGCCCGTCATGCAGAGTCCTCTGATAGCACTGGAAACTTGTGCTTGCTCCTGAAAGCCCCCACAGCTTCAGGCCCGTCCAGGCTGGTGAGAGGGTGGGCACAGCCCACCAAGCCCAAGCCTTGAGCTTTCCCATCTGCCAGCAAACCTTGACCCCGAGTGCAGAGTCCTGGGATTTCTTTTTTTTAAGAGGTTTTCGCTATAGGGCGCATGCGTTCATCAGACAGACAGAGACAAAGAGACAGAAAGTGAGAAGTCACCCCCCGGGGGGATGGCCACACCACAATCCCTTCTCCTCCATTCTCCTCTCGGGATCTTGGGCACACACACACACAGGTGCCTGGCATGAGTTTTTAAGCTACCAGGTCCGGGACGCGAACCACAGTCAACTACATGGGAGTCCAACGACATAGCCATTATGCTAACAGCTGGTCCCATGTCCTAGGATTTCTTCTTCAGCCATGTCAGGGATCTGGACAGTGCTGGGCTGGTGGCTCCAGCTCTGTGGTCTGGTATGTGAGACCCCTGCGATGTGGCTGCCAGTGCTATAGACCCTCTGGGTGCAGTCAGCCTGACCCCAGGCAGAGGAGAAGGCGTCAGGGGCTGCGGGGCTCCACAGCGGGGGGAACCTGGGTCCAGCGTCCCACTTACTGGTTGGATTCATTTGCAGTCGCGAGTGAGTGGCTCAAGGTAAGTCGCTTCCTGGCCTCAGTCTCCTGCTTACTCTCAGGCGAAGCCTGAGTAAATAGCATTCTTCCTGCAGAGTTAGAATGGGAATTCTCCCCACCGCGCGCTAAGGTGCACTCAGCAAACAGGTCCTTCCACCCAGGGCAGAGCCGCTACGGCTGCATCACCCCGACAATGTCTCCCCAGAGTCACCTGACTTACAACTGCATGCTCTGCCTTCCCGGCCCCTCTGCCGCCTTCCAACCTGAAATGGGTTTCTCTTTAGCACTGGCACCTCCACAGGGGCACCTAAAGTCTCCCTTCTGCTCTCTGCTTGGCCTGGCCTCACCAGGCATTCTGAGGAGGCCCGCACTCCCCCAGCAGGGCAGGGCAGGAAGGAACCCACGTGATTTGGGCAGCTGCCAGGCTAGTCAGCAGAGGCCCAGTGCTGCAGGTCCACTGGCCAGCCTCCTTGCCCCTGCGCCCTGCACCCTGCGTGGCCAGGACATCCTGCCTGGCTCCAGTGCGCCCTGACTCGCTCCCTGCTTCCACGGCAACCCCAGAGAGCAGCTGGAGGGCAGGGCCAGGACCTGGGCATCCCCCTGAGAGGGCAGGTGAGTGACAGAGGGAGCAGAGGGCCTGGGCTCTGGAGGGGCCGAGGGGCTGTGTGCAGCCCTGCTGGTGTGCAAAAACCCCACAGCTTCAGGCCCTGTCCAGGCTGGCGAGGGGGTGGGCACTGCTCACCGACCCCAAGCCTTGGCTTCTCCAGCTCAGACTGCTCTGGATGGGAGGGAAAAGGGGGAACAACACATTTGGGACAGAATAGCTGGTTTTATTCAGAAGCTTCACAGGCGTGTGCAGTGCAAACCGGACCAAGGCTGTGGGAGTTCGGAGGAGACTAAGGCTGGGCCCCCACCCAGGGTCCCAAGGTTGGTGGGGAAACCTCTCCTCCCTGGGTGCAGGAACTGTCTGAGAGAGTCCCATGACCTCTGTGGGGAGGAGGGGCCTGGCCTTCCTCTGAGCCTCCAGACACCTCGGTTTGACTGGGATCATCTGCAGTCCGGCTCTCTGGGCCCACCCACCGTGTCATAGGGCTGTGGGGAGGGTCTGTGGGCGTGTGTGGGTGTTATTGCCCCCGTCCCAAGCCCCGAACCAGAGCTGAATATTCTTAGAAACACCCCAAGAGTCACGAGCTCACGAGGGGCCCTACTAGGCACTGAGACCCCCATGCTCCTCTCTCCTGTGCTGGGATGGTTTTCTTGCTCACGCCTTTCTGTGGGGCTGGAGTGATAACGGGGACAAGGCCCCCACAGGTACAGAGGCCAGCACCGCCCACAGCCAGACGGCCAGGCCCGCAGGCTGTGGGCAGCTGAGCAGCAGCGCTGGCACCCTGGTCAGGGCTCCCTGCCTGCCAGGCCTGGCTCCGTCCTGGGACCCCCACCGGCTGCCACTGCTGCTTAGACTCAGCGGACCTCAACAAGAACACAGTTTCCTGGGAAGGCCCTGGTGGACTCTCCAGAGCTGTGCTCCTCAGAATCTGAGCACCAGTCACTTCTGGACCTCACTCAGCCTCAGGGTCCCCCCAGAGCCTAGGGCCAATGGTGGAGCCTACAGCAGTGAGTGAGAGTCATCGTAAAGGAGTTACACAGGGCCTCGCACACAGCCGGGCCTCGGGTCTTACTGACTGCAACCTCGTGACTCTGAAAAGCTAAAGCCAGCTGAGTGCGTGAGACCTGGTGGGCCTGGTGGGTGAAGAGGCCCAGACTCCTGCAGGGTAACGGGAACAGTGTCCTCGGGCCTTCCATGAGAGTGCAGGGGCAGCTTGGGTGCTCCAGTCTGAATCTAGGGCTGTTCTTTCCTGAGTGACCAGGGGAGGTTGGCCTCTCCCCACCCCTCCCCCCTGCCCGCTACACCCTCCCCATTACTGCTCTTCTTAACCCTGACACCCTAACATACAGGGCGGGAACGGCCTGGGCATCAGGGTGCATATGGGGAGACAGGAGGGCAGCCTTCCCAGCTGGCAGCTGCCCGTCGGCCCTTATCCCTCGTCCCCCCTGCGGAGACCAGAGCTTGGCCTCAGGTGCAGGGCAGAGCCCGTGCAAGGGGTGGGCACATTGAGCAGGAACTTCCCCGGGAGCTGGGCGAGCAGAGACAGCACAGGCGGGCCGGGGCCTGGCAGCTGGCTGCAGACTCTGCCCACGAGGTGCCCGGGGTGCCTGCAGGGAGGAGGGCGCCCTTCGGGTGGGAAGTGCTGATTGCTGTTGCCAGGGCAAGTCAGTCCCACAGACGGCTCGCTCCTGCAGGCCAGCTCTGGGCTCTGGGACAGCGGGGGGGACGCAGCCACCAAGGCTCACTGCGGAGGGCACCGCAGCTGGCCCCTCTGCCCTTGCTCGGCAGCGTGCCCTCACCGCCCTTGGCAAGTGCCTCACACGTGGCACACCTGGGCCCCTGCGCTGTGGTCCGGGTGCCTGACGAGAACTTGGTCTGGCTGTCCAGTTTCCGGGTGGTCAGGCGGGTAGCTGCACACAATCACTATTGTCCCTGTGCACCTGAGAGGCTGGGCCAAGAGTTGGTGAGTCCATGTCCTCACCCGGGAGGAGCCTCCACCCTGGTTTCCCAAACCGAACTCGAATCGTTAAAAAGTGAAGAGGACAGCTCACTGAAAATCAGCCTGACAGGCAGCCCAGCTGCTGCCCGCATGCTAACCTCCCAGCCGGCCCTTCCCCGGGATGACATTAAACGCCTGGGGCCCGACAGCCTCAGCCAGTACCTGCGATCATCTGTGCAGGCCTGGGGCACCGTCATGTTTGTTCAGGGGCCTCGTGACTAGGAGTTATCCACGCAGAAGTGGAACAAGGCTCAGAGGGAGGGGTCTGCCAGAGACACACACCGCAGGAGGGCATCCCCACCCCAAGGGCGAGGCGGGCAGAGACGTGGGTCTCTGTGGTCCAACCCTTTTTCCACCCCCAAGTTCCTTTGACTGCTGTGGGCAGAACCAGGGATCCTGGCCCAGAGCAGGGCCCCGGGAAGGGAGCATCCTGGCCTAGAGCAGGGCCCTGGGGAGGGAGCATCCTGGCCCAGAGCAGGGCCCTGGGGAGGGAGCATCCTGGCCCAGAGCAGGGCCCTGGGGAGGGAGCATCCTGGCCCAGAGCAGGGCCCTGGGGAGGGAGCATCCTGGCCCAGAGCAGGGCCCTGGGGAGGGAGCATCCTGGCCCAGATCAGGGCCCTGGGGAGAGACTAGAGCCCGGTGTGGGGAAGGGCCGCTGTGCTGCAGGCTGTGCCTTCCCTGTCCGGCGGCTGTCCCTTCACCACACTGCAAGTGTCCCCCTCAGGGTGCTGGTCTGTGGGGAGCCAAAGTGGGGTGGTGACACCCCCAGATGCAGTGACTCTTGTTTTGTGAATTTTACATGCTGAAGTCAAACATACCCTCCAGCTGACTTGAGACTATTTCTAGAATATTTTTCAGAGATAGGCTTTAAAAAGCTCCGAGCCTCGCCTTGCCTAATTCACTTAGAGGGAAAGTCCTCTGTGCTGCGGTCCATGTAGCCGTGGACCATCCGGGAACCTGCTGCCCTGGGAGGCATGCCCGGGCCGACTTTCCCTGCACCACATCAGAGGGGCCCAACTCGAAATCTGGAAATGCCCTGTCCCCTCCCCTCCTCGCCCTGCACCTGCTGAGCACCAGAGGAGAGGGTTCCCGGTGACCTCTGACCATGATACGCCAGGCCTGCCCCTGGGGAGCCACGTCAGAGGCGCCTATTCTCACGTCCATATTGCCACGCTCCATCTCTTCTAAGCAGACCATGGTGGACCCATCTTGGACTCAAGCTGTGTACCAGACCCTCCGAGACTGCACTAAGCACAATCAGTTTCCCATAGAGGCAGACGGGGCGGTCTCCCTCTGCCTGTCAGTTTCCCAGCATCCTCAGCATGTTTCCACCCCAGCCTTGCTCTAGACCAGCTCAGCTTCCCGTGACTGCCTGGGCCTCTCCCGTGCCCCTTCCAGGCAGGGAGCCCTCACCACCAGAGCCCGGATACTCCTGGCCCAGCACGCTCCCTGCCCCCACGCGCTCCATCTCCTGGGCTTCAGTTGTCTGTGCCATTTTCATAGACAGCAGTAACCACCCTTAGTGGGGGCAGGACCCAAAGGAGAGGAAACAGCCTTGGCAAGAAGACGCCCTCTGAGAAGCCTCTAGGACATCAGTTCAAACGCTGAGACTGATGAGTCACTGATTAGACCCCAAGAAAGCTAGGCTTGCTGAAGGGAAGTGAATGGCACCCTTCTGTTTGGTCTTTCTCCCTCTGGGTTTACATTTCTCAAATGAGGAGGCCTGCAATTTTGACTTTTCCTCTTAGAGGAGAGGGAGACTGACAACTCCTCAGCTGATGGTCACGCTGTTTCATCCATTCTGAAAATAGACTTGCAGTGAGTTCTTCTTTTATTTCTTTTGAAAAATAATGAAAAATAAAAATGAATAAGCCCCAGTCATCCATCAAATAATAGCGTTTTGTTAAAAAAAAATAAAGAAAGAAAGAAAAAGAAAAGAAAGGAAGAAAAGGAAAGAAAGAAAAAAAAAGAAGCAGAAAACCTTATGCCCTTGGAGAGTATCCAGGGTAAGATTAGTGTAAACGTTTTCTTATCCAGAATCTAAAATTATAAATGCAGACTTTGAATGTCCTCACATACCTCACTGTTTCTCTGACGATCAATGTTTTATCTTTGAACATACTGAGGGGGCAGTGTGAAATATTTAAGAAAGTCTTCTTCACAATTTTAAAGCACAGTCCAGGGAATATTTTAATTGGCAACTATGAGGGCTCTAAAGAAATTTTCTTTGTAAATAATATCTGATTGCTGCACAGGAAATATCACTCTTCATAATTAACCTCTTGTACAGCAAAAGGAAAGTGCATTTCTCCACAGACCAAGGTCTATTTTCATCTCCACAGTGAATACGTTGAATGATCTGTGGCACTGAACAGGGTACTTCTCAGAATTATGAGGCAAAACTGAGTCTGTTAGCTGGTTTTAAAGTACTCTCACTAAAAGCAGACAAATTGGGCCCCTTCTCTGATGTTCCTCATTAAACAGGCTTAATGAAGACTTGCTGAAGTCACACAGTGGCTTCAGACTTTCAGTGGCCCATACCAGAACTTCCAGTTATCCAGACAAAATCTTCCCCAGAGCCTCAGTCACTGGGGCAGAACAGATCTGGGGGTAGCAGCAGTGTCCTCAGGCCCAGGGACCCTGTGACCTGCTGCAGAATAGTGAGCTGAGGGCTCAAAGGAGAGCTGGCTGTGTACCAGGGAATAGAGTAGTTGTTTTCATGGACCCTAACAGGAACTAATGTGACATCTCTGAATGTGAAGAAGTGCACATACATTACTGAGATGGAAGGATTGGAAAAGAGAGTGAAGACAGAGTGGAAGCCATGGGATGGTCAGGAGGGTTCTTTGTGAGGGTAAGCAGAGCTTTTCAGTGTACTCAGTGAGCATGGCACTGGGAGGTGAGGTCCTACCTGGTATTGTAATGTCTCTAGTTTTATACCCAGTAGTAATGTCCACATCAGTTTGAGCCATGAACTCTGCATAATATCTCTATTATAGTGCTTTAAATGTATTTATTTATTCCACAAGCAAAAATTAGAGAAACGGCATCCACAACTTTTTTTTTTTTTGTAGAGGTTTTTGCTATAGGGCATGTGCACGCATCAGAAAGAGAGAGACAGAGAGACAGAAAGCAAGAAATCACCCCCCAGGGGGGATGGCCATGCCACAATCCCTTCTCCTCCATTCTCCTCTCAAGATCTTGGGCATGCATGCACATGGTGTGAGTGTAAGCCACCGGGTCCAGGACTCGAACCACAGTTGACTACATGGGAGTTCAGTGACATAGCCATTACACTAACTGCTGGTCCCCACAACTACTCTTTAAACAGCTATCTACCTCCCCAGCTTCAGACAACCCTGGTTCACGGGCACACATGTGCCCAATGTACTCAGAGAGGTCTGTAGACACAAGCCCAGAAACCTCCCATGTAGGTCAGCCTTACAGAGCATTGCATTTTACCACTGCGCCACTGTCCAGCCTCCTGTGTAACAACTGTGAATGAAAAGCCGATCAGAGTGTCTGTTATGCTTTGATCAGTGCCACTGTGGCCATCAATGCCCTGTCTCACACCACCTCATAAATATCCAGACCAGGACTGCCTATGACTTGCCCCCCTATCCAGATGAGTGAGCTACCCCCCAGGGCTTGGCTATCAGAAGGACCTGAGGTCCAGCAGCCTCAGCAAGCTCTCATGTACACAATTGCAGGTGCTGAGCAGCAGGATTAGGTCAGGACCTGGGAACCTGCATCTCTAACAAGCTCCAGCAATGCTGTGGTCCACAGACCATACTGAGTAGCAAGGTTTAAGGTTCTGCTTATCTGGCTTCTGACACTTGGGTTTTTCTTCCTCTGTCCTTTTGGTATTGATGAGGATCAGGCTTGATGAATTTTTAGAAGGGCATAAGATCATCTGAGGTCTGACTTCTTGGTTAGGGACCCCCTGGACACACAGCATCGCGGCGTTCATGGTGGGGCTCGGGGGCTGGTACTCAGTTTCTCAGGCTGAGGCCCAGTTGTCAGCATTGCTAGCTGAAAGTCTCCACCGGGCACCTCCCACCACCAACTTCCTCACAAAGCATAGCTTGCCGCCTGCTTCTTCCGTGGTGTTTGGCTCTCCCCTTACCCGGCATCACTGTTGCCTCCCGGGGGAGGCAATAAGCATCATGCTTGTGTGACCTCCTAGGAACCACCCACTGCATGAAAAACCTGAACACCCCCAAGTCTGGAAGACAGTAAAACCTTTTTGGCGATGCGGAGTCTCCCTGCTTTTCCTACCTGGCAAGTCAGTCTTCAGGTGCCCCTGCCCAAGTGGAACCTTTACTACTCAGTGCAGGAGGTCATGGGGGTGCACATGGGGTCCTGGGGGTGCACATGGGGTCCTGGGGGGTGCAGAGGGGGCCCCGGGGTGCTCAGGGGGTCCTGGGAATACACAGGGGGTCCTGGGGTGCACAGGAGGTCCTGAGGGTGCACAGGGGGTCCTGGGGGTGCACAAGGGGCCCTGGGGGTGCACAGGAGGCTCTGAGCACACCGAACCGGACATGGGGTTTCCCTTTCTGTTCTGTTCTCTGAGTCCCCAGGGTGAGCTCTGAGACAAGGAGCCTCAGGGACAGTCGGTTCCCGAGAGACATCTTGGTATTCCCAACTCAGGCAGCGAGGGGAGTGTGTCACTTGATGGTAAAATCACAGGACATTTATCTCATAGCAGAAAGGGAGTGAGGAGAGAGTGTGAAAAGCAGGTCCCTTTTAAAATTCGAGTGTGGAGGGCCAGCACCATGGCCTAGTAGTTAAGGGAGCTGGATCCCACCTGGGAAAACACATGGTTCAAGTCTTGGACCCAGTAGCCTAAAAAGCAGGTCAGTGGTATGTGTGAGTGCATGTGTCCCAAATCCCCGAAGAACAGCAATATGGAAGAGAAGGGATTGCAGCATGGCCACACCCCACTGGAGGTGCCCCACCTCTGTTAAATACACGCACCCTCTAGAAAATGTCATTTTTTTAAAAATTTGAGTGGGGAGATTTTGCACAAAGAATCGATTAAATTCATCAAATTACCCAAGTTTCCAGACCATTTGCCTGGTTAGGAAACTACTTAACCCACAGACAGACGGACGCCCTGCGCGGTCACCTAGCAACCTGCTGCTTTCTGTCCTGCCTCCCCTTTGTACGTTGTCGCCATCGTAGGCTTCCTGAGACTGATGGCTGTCACCCTGTGGTCTTGTAGGTGCCCCTGACGAGGAGCAGAGATGGGGAAGAAACTGGATCTGTCCAAGCTCACCGATGAAGAGGCGAAGCACGTCTGGGAAGTGGTCCAGCGGGACTTCGATCTTAGGAGAAAAGAAGAAGAAAGACTAGAGTAAGTGAGTCACACTGAGCCTGCTGAGCCCCCAGAGCCCTGCGACCTGGGGTCTGCCCGAGGGGCCATGGCCTCGGGCGTTCTGGGTGCTAACAGTCAGGTGATGCGCCGGACGGGAAGGAGTGGTCTGGGGAAAAGGTCTGCTTTCTGGTCTTGGTTGGCTCTTAATAGAGAAGGGAACCTCAGGGCCAGCAGGTGGCATGGTAGTTAAGGCCCTGGACTCCCACATGACTGATATCAATTCGAATCCTGGACCAGGTGACTTGCTTTCTCACTTTCTCTCTCTCTGCTCTGTCTCTCTGCGTCTCTCTGGTGAGCACATGTGCCCTACAGCAAAATTTTGAAATAGTAATAATAATAATAAATTAAATTAAATATATAATTCTTTTTTTAAAATAAATTAAATGAAATGAGGGACCTGACTTTCTAAACTGGAAAGTTGTTCTCTGAAGAGTTTTATATCACCGTGGGCCAGCTTCCAGCATGACAGCCCGAAACCGGCTGCTGCATGGACACATGCTTAAAGAAGAAAGAGAACTAGAGTGAGAAACATGGCGGCCTCGAGGCCATTCTGAAACACCATTGATGCTGGCGTTGAAGGGCCTCGGGACAAAGGCCGGCCTTCCACCTTCTTCTCAGCAGTGCATCGACCTCTCAGCAGCAGACAGGAGGGTGCTCTCCACACGCCTCATGACGCGGAAGGAGCCCGGTGGTGCTCGCCGCCTTCATGGCCACAGCCATGTGCAGTGTAAGGGAAGACGAGGCTTATAGAGAAGAGCGAGGAGGGCCCAGCTATACCCTCGGTTACCAGGACGAAAAGGGGATGTCTGTCCGAGGTTGGACGGGCCCTGTCTGGACAGAGACCCTTGCAGGAATACTCGCTTCACATGGCTGTGGTTCTGGCGACTTCTGCAGCAGTTCTCGGTGTCAGGTGCACAACCTGAGAATCACCCGTCCCCAGCTCCGTTTAGTCAGGCTTAGCACAAGGTGACGCCAACAGCTTCGTTTGATTCTGACAGCATCCAGTGTTAGGTGGCCCCCGTCCTCACCATGGTGACTCCAGCAGCTCCCTGGCCGCCCCCACTGCCTGAGCAGAAGCCGCTCCTCATATTATCACCTCCTCCCGCGGCTTTCTCCCCCAGACCTCTAACATTCGTTTACCTCCTGGGCCGGTCTGGTCTTCTCCGGGCCTGGCGAGAAGGAAGCATTGGGCAGATTCGAAGAGGTGACTGAAGTAGCCTCAAGGACTGTTCCAGGAGGAGGAGCACCATGACGGCGGGAAGAAGCTGGTGCATTCTGGGAGTAGCCCAGGGCCCTACCTTGGAAGGACGCCACCATTCTCAGCGTGCGTCAGCTGTACACGCGTGGACCCAGGGCCGGCTTGCCAGGAGCAGAGCTGCCCAGGGCCAGCACGCTGCCAGCTGGCTCCCCAAGAACCCAGTTCAGAAGAACCGAGCGAAGCACGGGCTGCTTTCAGGGCTCACGGCATGAACAGGGGGATGCGTCCAACGGTTGCGTGTTGTGTTGTGCTCAGACGTGTGCTTCAGTCTCTGTGGCAGGGACCAGGCAGCTCTGCCGGTGACACCTGTACCTTTTCCAAGAGGGTCAGACCTGCATCTTTGATTTCTCCTCTGTCAACGCCAGAGCCGCCTGTGCTGGCCAGATCCCCGATGTGCCAGAAGAACGAAGCCATGTAACTGTGAGACCTGTGTGGCCAGTACCCTGTCCCCACGACACCTCGGCCTCTGCTCCCTGGTCAGGCCCACCCTCCTCCAGGCTGCGCTGAAGACACTCGGTCATGGAGACCTGCAGCGAAGGACCCCGTCCGTGGGGAATCTCTCCTGGGCTGACTTAAGAGCATACCCATCCTCTGAGCCAGCAGGTCCTCTGCTAAAAGTCATCCCAAGGAAAGAATCAGGCAACGGTCGTAAGAAGGAAGAAACAGGGCTGCAAATGGAGTAGCAGCTAAGGCACTGGACTCCCACATGGCTGACCACAGTTCAAGTCCCGGACCTGGTAGCTTGAAAATTACAACAGGCATGTATGCATGCGTGCCCAAAATCCTGAGAGGAGGATGGATGAGAAGAGATTTAGAGGGTGATTTCTCACTTTCTCTCTCTATCTCTCTCTCTCTCCAGTGAATGTGTAGCAAAAATTTCTCTCTCTTTAAAAAAAATAAAAATGGTGGGGAGGGGAAGAACTAGAGAGACACCAATGTCCCCAGTCCCAAGCTTTGGTTAAATGCCAAATTTAACAGTAGGTCTGACAAAAGATTACTCAGCACCATTAAAAATAATGCCATAGAACGGCTTGATATGAACAGCTCATGAGCAGAGATCAGAAAACGCAGCTTTATCTCATTTTATGTTTTAGACCATACATGAAGAAAATCTAATAGTAATCTCAGACTCAATGTCCACTGAGCCCTTCTGGGTGTCATTCTCTGCACCTGTGTGGGTTTTTTCCTGGTTTTGTTTTGTTTTATTTTGATTTTGTCTAGTTTATTTATTTCTTCCATCAGAAAGATACAGAAAAAGAGGAAAGAAAGAGAGTTGGGCACCCCAGTAGGGCCCTCACTCCACGGGCAGTCTCCAGTCCCATCCGGCCTGGATCCCAGGCCACGCTTTCCCAGCATGCTCAGGGAGGCCCCAGGACACGAACCCAGGACCTTTCCTTGGGGCGTAGTTGTTACCACTGCACCACTGCCTGGCTGCCCCAGCACCCCAAGGGGCGTTCTCTGCATCGTCTGCATCTCCTTTGCTGAATTCTCAACTTCTTACATATTCACTTCTGGGGGGTCCAGAGCCCTCACCTCAGCTTCTCCCTTCTAGAGACACTCACTGCTCAAGTGACCATGCCTAGCCCTGTGTTTTGTTCCGTTCTTTGTTTTATTTTTAAAGGAAGATTTTTGTAATAGGTCATATGCACTCACCAGAGAGACAGAGAGAAACAGAGAGAGAGAACGAGAAATCACCCTCCGGGGGGTGGCCATGTCACAGTCCCTTCTCCTCCACCTGCCCCTCAGAACTTGGGGCACACACACGCCTAGCATGAGTTTAAAGCTGCCAGGTCCAGGACTCTCCCCACGGCCAGCCATGTGGGCGTCCAGCACCTTAACCACTACGCCACCTGCTGGCCTCAGCCCCGTGTTTTAAGTGCCCGCTGGGCCAGCGCCATGCAGGCAAGGGTTTTCTGCCAAGCGATGGCAGCCACGAGCCGTCCACACTGGCAGCGTGGCCCATGCAGTCCAGGAGCCACATTCTAAGTGTTACTGTCTCTTACTACGCACTGTAGTAGGCTGTGTGGCTGGCGGCTAGACGGTGCAGGCCCAGGGACGGAGTCCGTTCACGGTGAGGCCTCTCCCCTGAATATCTGACTGATAGATGCCTGCTCAGCACCCTGGCTGGGCCATCCGGTCGGCCTCCGACTCCAAGTCCAATGCAGATATCCTGATGCCCCTTCACCGCCCAGGCCCCCCCTCATCCTGTCATCTCAGCAGTCGCCATGGTCAAGGTCCCGAGAGCCGGCCTGTCCCCCCTTTCCTCTCAGCCACGCTCCATGTAACAGGACATCCCATTCCTTGACCATCAAAATGCCTTGAATGCAACTGCTGCTCACCACCCCGGTGCCAGCCCCATCACCCCACACTGCCCTTTCCTAGTCATTCCCCCCTGCCCTCTCGTCTCCCTCCTGTCCTCACTGCCCTGCTGTCTGTTCTCCTACGGCCCGAGTCACCTCTCACCCACAGGACCCCGTCGTGTCCTACCCTGCTCACGTAATCCCTCGGGAATTGCCACGGCGTTTATGCTCGCTGTGGCACGTGGGACCTCACCCCTGCCCACTGCGTGGTCTCTCCAGAGCGCTCGGCCGACCACGGACGACATTCCTCCCTGGCATCAGCCTCCCCGCAGGCGCTCTTGTGCGAGCTGCCGCCCTCGCCACCCCGACCACGCAGCTGTTCTGGCGCTGTCCTTGAACCCACCCTAGCCAAGGTCAGGTGGGGCTCACCAGCCTCAGATTACCCTGTGATGTGGCCGAGTTTACTCCCGTTAGAGCTGAGGAGACAGGACGAGGCCGGGTGCCCAGCCGACCGTGACCCATGTCTGGGCGGGGGCGTCCTGCTGGGTTCAATTTGAAGTGCGGTTCTTCTCCGCTTCCTCCCCCGGCAGAACTCCTCACAAGTAAGAGAAGGAACAATTTCACTTTTACGTATTAATTTGTATTGTAACTTCTAATTTACATATAGTAGCTTTATAGACTTGAGGGGAGCAACAATTTCTTAGTGTCAAATATCCAATGTGTGGGGGTCAGATGGAAGTCCCACGGTAAAGCACTACAGTCTGCAAGGGTGACCTGCGTGAGAAGGTCCCGGGTTCGTGTCCTGAGACCCTGAGTTCACTGAGCCTCGCTGGCCCTTGACCCTTGGCTGGCTGAAGCCGAGCTGGGCCGAGCGTCCGGACCTGCTGGGCTCTCTCTCTCTCTCTCCCCCTTTCTCTTTGTCTCTCTTGCTTATGGAAGAAATAACTAAACTTCAATATATATTAATATAACTACATATAATGCACATAATAATGTGTATTTATGTTTATCATATATAATTGGGTTGTCAGAAAAGTCCTGACACATTTTTGCATAGAAAAAATACATCATGACATTCCCAACAGCCCAATGTGTACACGTATGTATATATTACATATATGTTACTGTATATAGCATACATGTTTATATACACACGCAGTCTGTGTTCAGACTTGCCACGTCTCCACGCAGGTCTGTCCATCCCTTACAGTCGATTGCTGTGTCTTTTAGGTGTCCTAATCTGTAAGATCTTTTTTCTTCTCTTTTTCCTCTAAGGTGTATTTGTAGAAGAAAGCTGGTTGTTTGATTTTATAGAAGTTCCGTGTGCGTTGGCCGGTTACAACCCCGTGATGTTTGCATCAGAGTTTCTTTGACCCTTGTCTTCCGTCTAGGCAGAGAGTGAGTTCCACAGAAGTGTTTCT